TATGCCTGGGGCAGAGATTGCTCAAATTGACTGTGGTGCCAAACAATTAATCAGAGCCTCTGGAAAAGCTCTCTTGCAAACTCCCTGCTTCCCCTCCCACCTTCCTGTCTTGGTTTCCTTTCAAATAGGCAAGAGCCCTGACCACCTTCAGGTGCAGCAACAGCATCTGCTGGACTGTTCCTGTTGTGCACCACAGTCCTTGACTCCAACCCCACTGCACACCCTCCTCTATCCCTGGCTCCTCAGCCCAGTGCCATTGCAACCTTGACTTTTTTTTTCCATTGATGTAAACCCTTCCCTGCAACCCTCCATACCAAAGTGCTTAAAGCAAATGAGATCAGTTGTGGAATGGTCTGAACCCATTCACCTTTTGCATACTTAGGCTGCGTATGGACTTAGCTTAGGCTGCAGCTGCAAGCTCTTTGCTGCCAAGCCAGTCAGTTTGGCTCCCCCAGCCCCCCTGCTGAGCAGAGACTCTGCTGGTGCATGTCCTGCCGGCCCAGAGCCTCACCCACCCTTGCAATTCCCTGTAATGGCATGCTGGGAAGCACCACCACAGCCAACACATTGCCTGGCATGTTTTTCTGTTGTCACTGTTACCTGTATTCCCCTTACTGAACCAATTCATTATTACAATGCTTCTCAAACTAGTCTATTTCATAGAGTCATAAAATAGTTTGGGTTGGAAGGGACATTTGAAGTCCAGCCCCCTTGATATAAGCAGTGGCATCTTCAACTAGATCAAGTTGCCCAGAGCCCCGTGCAACCTGACCCTGAATCTTTCCAGCAATGGAGCATCTATCACCTATCTGGGTAATTGTTCCAGTGTTTCACTACCCTCATTGTAAAAATGTCTTCCTTTTATCTACTCTGAATCAACCCTCCTTTAGTTGAGAACCATTAACCCTTGTCCTATTGCAACAGGCCCTGCTAAAAAATTTGTCACCGTCTTTCTTATAAGCCCCCTTTAAGTACCAAAAGCCAGCAACAAGATCTTGGAGTCTTCTCTTCTCTAGGCAGGACAACCTTAATTGTCTGTGTCATTGATGAATATATTAAACAGTCTGGTCCCAATACAGACCCCTGAGGGACACTTCACCAATCTCCATCAGGATATTCAGTTGTTGAGCATTTACCTTTGGATATGACCATCCAACCAATTCCTCATCCGCTGAACAATCTACCCTTTAAATCTGTATCTCTCCAATTCAGAGAGAAGGATGGTGTGAGTGGACCGTGCCAAAGACCTTGCAGAAATCCAGATAAACGACATCTGTAGCCCTTCCCTTGTGCATTGATGTAGTCACTGCAGCATAGAAGGCCACTAGGTTGGTTTGGCAGGACTTGCTCGTAGTGAAGCTGTGCTGGTTGTTTCAAATCACCTCCCTGTCCTCCATGTGCCTTAGCGTAGCTGTGCTCTCAGAAATCATGGCCTCTGAAGCCAGAGGGACTGTTGGATCTGAGATCCTGTGCCATACTGGCCACCATTGTCCCCTCAGGTGGGCCTGTGAGCAGAGACCAACTCCACCTCAGCGATCTTCCTCATACAGACATAGCGTCAGACTGCAGTGAGAGCACAACTGATATAGCAGCCTTTCCCCTGACAGAGGCAGTGTGTACACCCATTTCCCTGCACAGCCCTGTATTGTCAGGCTTGTATTTCTCAGCTTTGGCATGTAAAGGTGAACGGTCTCCTTTTCATCTTCCACAGAAGCCAAAAATTGGCCAGTTTCACAAAAAAACCAAATGGGGCTAGGGTGCAAATTACACTTGTGCCATTTCCCACCTACTCAGCCCTGCACCCCTGATACTCATTTTGGAGCTTCTCCAGCGTACACACACAACTGGGTGGGCTGGGTGGGTTTCTCCTAACAGAAGCACCCCACGCTTCATCTGATACACAAAGCAATGGACAGATAGGGCAGTGGGAGGAGGAGGAGGACACAGGGTGGGGTTCTTGCAAAACCCTGACTCAGCCATCAAGCTGTAGCAAGGGCCTCAGTCAGCACCTTGTTTCACCCCTGCCAAGAGCATACAGACAGGAGTGCCACTCCCTGCATCTTGTCACCACTGGGTTACCACCTGCCTGAGCCACTGGGACACGTAGCAATGCCAGAATTTCTACTTCAGCCTCTCCACACCCGCTGATGCTGTGACAATCATGTTGGTGCTTTCTGCAAGCTTGCAGGTGTTTCAGGGCCAGATCCAAAACTCCTCACTGTCACTCAGCAGATCCCTGTTGATTCCAAGTGAGCTTGGGCCAGGCTCTTAGGAAGGGCATAACTCCTTAAAAACACTGAAATGCCCCCCAGCAGCTTTCTGCACACCTCTTTTGCAACATCAGGCTCCATTTCACACAGGAGCTATTACCTCCTGGCAGCAGATCTCCAAATCAGATAAATAATTCCTGGTTCAGGCTGTGCCCACCCACTGCCAGCAGCGATGCTGCCCCAGTGCTGTGTGGACCGAAGAGCCCATGCTGATGTGTGGTCATGCACTCACAACCATTTTAGCTGTTTCCAGTGATTTGCTGGTGGCTGCAGAAAAGACTTTATTATTCAGAGGAGGATGGGGAAAGCTCCCTAAAATGTTTTAGCTCAACGAATCTGAGGGTCTTTTTTCTCTGTTGTTTTGGATGTTGGTTAGCTGTTTGTTTGTGCATGAGCCCATGAATCAGAGGAGCTTGGGACAGCAAGATCAATAAA